GTATTTTTAAAACCATATTTCTGATTATAAAAATGTTTATTGTAAGTATTTAAATATTACAGAAATATGTTGTATTTTTTACTTTTGTTGCTGGGGCAAAATACCTGATGTCCAGAATTAAGAAAAGAAAGATTCATTTAGCTTACAGTTTGTGAAGGTTTCAGCCTATACTCAGCTGACTCCAAGGCAGAGTGGCACATGGCAGAGGGCAAGAGTTTATGGTGGTACAAAACAGTAAATGCAAAAAGGAAGAATCAGAGAGCAAGCCTCTTTCCTTTCCTTATATTGTATGCAGGCTGCCACCCCACGGGAGGTGTAGTCCTCACACATAATCTTTGGACCATGAGTCAATCAGAAACTCTAGAAGCCCGTCCCATGCCTGCATGAGGCTTTAGGGGGTTATCCAGACACAAACTACAATACAACTAAAGCAGAGAGAATCTTGGTTAATTTAGGTAAATCAAAGATTGACATACACAGTTAAATAGTAAATATTTCTGGCTTTGGTTTTCATGTAATATCTGTTGCAATAAATGAGCATGGCTGTTTTCTATTAAAACTTTATTTACAAAGATAGCCCTTTGTAGTTTACTAAAAGACAGTGTATATGTCTATTGTAACACTTTGCTATATTTTGACCCAGGGATTGTACTATACATAGCAGTTTGTAACTTACTATTTTTTTAACTTAATTTCTGTAGATATATTTCCATGGTATTACATGTAGGTTATGCTCTTAGTGACTAATAATTTCCTTTCGTAACTGTACCTTTCTGTCACTTAGTAATGATGAGTAGTTTGGTGATAACCTTTTTGTGTTTTATTCAGTGCTATAACTGTTAGGGAAATTGAATTTATAATTTAAAATCCACCCTCCTGACACACACATGCCAAAATCACCAGGCTCAGATGATTTTGTTGAAGAATTCTATCAGAAATTTAAGGAATTAACATAATTTTATATAGTGTCTTCCAGAAAATGGGAGGGAATCTTCTTAGTTCACTATAACAAATTGAAAACAATGTGAGTAATAAAAATTCAAATATTTTTGCTGAATATAGATGAGAAACTTAGTAAGAAAATAATAAACAGAATTTAACAACATTTTGAAAGTTATCCAAGCTGGACGTGGTGATACATTGACTGTAATCCCAGCTACTCAGGAAGTTTAAGTAGAAGAATGATAAGTTTGAGGACAACCTGGGCAATTTAATAAGACCAGGTCTTTAATGAAAAAATTATAAAAGGGACTAGAGATGTAGCTCAGTAATAGAGTACCTACCTAGTGTGCATAATATTAATCATAACTACTACAAAATAAGTAAGTAGTCATTTCTTATTTATCCTACCTTTTTGTTTAGTTGCTATTTCTAATTCTAATCAGTGATTAAGCTGTACCTTCATAACTTACATCAAATTTCCCAGAGATTTAGCTTCACTTTTTGTTAAAGATTTAGTAATTCTCACTCCTACCCCATATTCTGCTTCTTTAGACATTTGTAAAGGATTGTTAAGGAAAACAGAGGTCCAATACTTATCTTTTAGTCTTATTACTGA